AAAATTAAGTCTAAATAAAATATTAAAAAATAAAATTAAATGGAATAGGAAAAATGACAAAAAAAGGTAGGTTGAAAAAAAAAACCAAAATTTTAATGCTAACCAACAAAATTTGCGTTCAACTGTACCATTAAAAAAATTTTAGGGAAAACAAATGATTAAAATGAATTAAAACACCGGTATTTTTGCTATACGGAAATTTTGTATGACAATTATCCCTTATCTTCTCCTCTCTCACACTGCATAAAATTCATTTGCAAAATATACGAAATCTACTTTTCAGTACTGAATTTTGTTAGTTGAGCTAAATTTCGTTATATGTTAAAACCCGATCAATAACTTGAGAAAAAACTTATAGCTATCCAAGCATTCGAAATTAGATTATATTCCAATTATCACTGTAGTTTTCAATTTGATTATCATAGCAACGCATTAGTAAATATTTCCTGGCTGAATGGATTGTAGTTCGGAATTCCGTGTGATAAGAATTGATTGAATGCTGTTGAATTGTATGTTCCACACTGTTTACTTACATATTTATTTATTTTTGCATAATCTGAGCTATTTAACGAATATAAAAAATTAAATTTTTAGAAAAAGATAGAAAGAGAGAAAAAAGACTTAAACAATTGTTACAATAAGAAAAAATACCTCTAACTTTTGAATTTTGTGAAACATATTTGTCCAAGAATAATGATATTTGATAACTATATGATCTATAATTTATGTTGCTTAATGATGAATTCTGTGTTCCATTTTTTCAATTCTAAATAATTCTTAGCGAATTTTTTGATTCCTTATTTCTAAAACTGTGAAAAGTTTTTAATAAATTTTAATATTTTCCAGTTTTGCAAAAAGAATACAATTCAAAGTCTAAGGCAGTGTATTTCCTAATTGAAAATGGAAAACAATAAATGGAATTCAAAAATTAAGCTGTAAAAGAAAAGTAATATTAAAAGATATTCTAAAAAATAAAAAAAAACACTGAACTGTACAAAATATGGCACATTGGAATTATTAAATTTTGTAGTATAATAACTGCAAAGGAATCTCAGGCACAATTTTTAATTTCAAGACAAAAATAAAAAACATTTTAATATGAAAAATAAAAGAAATTATTATAATGATGAGAAAGAATAAGAAATAAACAGAAAAATATTAAGAGGCACATATTTATCATTGTGTGAAAAAACTCTGCTGGGCACATACAAAAAAAATTTTGCAAAAAAAAATCAAATTTAAAAAAAAACTTAACTAAAAAAATTTGGCAAGAAAATTATCAGAGCGTCTCGTCATTCATTCAGTCGAAGATATTTCTATAAAAGCCTAATTTGTGATTTTTCACTTTTTCTTCAATGTTTATTTTTCATATGATTCATATTCGTAACTTATCAAATAATATGAAAATAATTACGGAAAAATAGTTCAACAATGAAAATTCTGAATTTTGTACTACAATGAAGGAAATTTTGATTTTTGAAAAAGTTTGCAAATGAAAGAAGAAAATTAGCACATCTATTTGTAATTTATTAAATAGCAATTTTCATCTAAAAGAAAATATTGTAATTTTCAGACATATGCTAATAAAATCAAATTTTTTCTATTTTTATTGATGCATCATAATTCGACGATTTAACAGAACTATGACTTCTATTGCTTCTGATTTATAATATATTATGGTAAATTGGATTATTTCTTAATTTAAAAGAAATGAGCGAGTTAAAAAGAATGAAGAATTTTATGTGTTTCAGAATGACGAGCGAAGAAAATGGTTAAATATTTCAACAAAGGATGCAAAAAGAAATACATCAGGGAAAATAGAGAAAATAAAAAGACGAGTAAACTCAAAGTGATCAAACAAATTTCGTTTGAATTGCAAACACTGCCAATACTAAATTGGAATGTTAGTTTCATTATTAAATTGTTCATTCCATTTTCAAACATTAATGTAAAATATTTAATAGTAGTTTAAAAAAGAGAATTTAATCGTAATTAGCTTAGCATAAATGCATAATCATTTAATAAAATTGTATTTTAATCATTGCTATGAATAATTTTTTAGAACAATAATTTATGCTTCTATAAAATTTTGCAACACTTTATTCTTTTCCGAGGATTTCAACCTAATTCTGTCAAAAAAAAAGAATTAAATTTAATTTTTCCTTCCTTTGCGCAAAACCGGATTTAGAACAAATAAAATGAGAAGAGAAAGAAAGAGAAAGAGAGAGAATAAAAAAAGCTGACTTCTTTTTTGACAAAATTCAAATTTTAAATCAGTTGTGGAAACATCCATAGAGATCAAAAATAGCGTTTGGGTTTACGTGACAAAAGAAAAAGGAAGCATGCACTCGAAATAAGAACTTGAAAATTTTCATTCATTTAAAAATCTCAAAAAAAAAGTCAGTATTTTTTAATCAAATAATTTAATACGAAGAGGGAAATGGAAATTAATGAGATAATTCGATCAATAACGTGATTTACGCGTGAATATCACGTAATTTCATAAAATTTTCATTCATTTCAATTCATTTATTATTTCAATGCACGCTTAATTGTGTATGTATGAAAATATAAGCCGAAATGAATGATGAATGACTACAAATGAGTATCAATGAGACTGTATCATTTCGAAAAACATAATGATAATAACAAAACGGTGTTTGTACCAAATATTATTACCATGATACCTGTGGTACCTCTTTGCCTGTATTACTAGCGGTAGCAACATTAGCAACAACTACATCATCGGTTCGTAATGTATTATTACCAGCAGTTTGTCCCGTATACTGTTGCTGTTGTAAATGTTCCGCAACACTTGACCGTACCTCATTTCCCGTTGATGCAACCGAAGCAGCAGATGAGATCGTGGACGAGTAATTGCTTAACATATATTCCAAATTATCACCACTTACTGCATAATCCAATGCTGGTGTTATCAATGATGATGGTGCTTCCAACTGCAATCATTATTATCAAATTTTTATCTTCCAGCAATCACAATAAAGTAAAAAGTAATCATTTATTATTAGAAAAGCAAGCTAAGCAATTACAAATGTGATTATGTTAATATTTAAAGTTCACGTGAACACATGAAAATCTTTTCTAGGTGGATCAAAAAAGCTATAATACGAATTCAAAAAAAAAATTCAAAAAAATATGGAATCAAATTGAATTTTAGAAAAGTATCAATTTTAAATTTCAACAAATTAAATAATTAATTGAGGAATTAAATAATTAAATGAAGAAAATTTCTTGTCCAACAAAATTCTCGATGACAGCAATTAATTGCCTATTATTTCATTTAAGAGATTATTTAATTATTTTTACAACAAATGAATAAGAATTATGTTTTCACTCAAGGAAATTTTCACTCCCCTAAATTTTTTTCTAAACTTTGGCTTAATATATAATATTTCTATTTAACATCACTGATCCGCAGCTTAAAAAAATGATATTGTCAAGTTAATAGGTAAACCAAAAAGGAATAGAAAAAATTAGTACCTGTGGTTGATAGCTAATCACGTTATGATTATGATTAGCTAACATATCAGTGGTTTGCGATGATGTACCACCGGCGGAATATTGGGAGACGAACGGTTGTTGTTGTTGCTGCTGTTGCTGTTGTTGTATGTTTTGTTGGGGAATTTGATCGGTTTGATTATTTAAATGCAAATGGAAATAATCGCCACATCCGCCGTTACTACTTGAAAAGGCTAAATTTGGTGGCGTAAACGGTTGCATTGGATTTTGCTGCAAATTAATTTAATTAAATGTTAAATTTAATGTCAAATTTAATTAAACTTAACTTAATTAGCAAAATTTTGAACTAATGATTGCTTTTCAAAAGGTGGAATAATTTCGCCAAAAATAAATCAAATTAAAGTTTACATAGAGACTGTAAAAGGAAAAAAAAAACTATCACTTCAAATAATACAATTCATTGAATGTCCAATACAAAAGTACGAGTTAATCAATACAATAATTTTGATTAAAATACGGTTGATTAAGAGAAAAAGAAGGTGAAAAAGGTGATAAGTGTGGAATCACTTACCAATTGATGAGCACCGAACATCATAAATGGATTAGCATGGAAAAGCTGAAAAAAATTCATTTGTTTTTTTGAATAAATTAAAAAAGTTAATAAGTTATCTACAAATTTCTATCCCAAATTAAAGTTAGCAAATTTGGATTCTTGCAGATTAAAGACAATTGTTCATACGCGAAGCAAAAGCAGAAATTCTGAAAATAAATAAACAGAAGAAAGGAATTTTGACATATGGCTGAAAAGCAAGAAAATCAAATTAATATAGAAAATTTTCCATATGAATTCGATTTTTTCCTTTAAATGAATTGTAAATTGTTAAATTCTTCATGTCGAATAAGATAAAATCAAATTTGTTACTGTTTTGTGTATGCATTTTCTTTCTTTTTTAAACGAAATTTGTGTAGTTGAACGTGAACTTACATTCATTTCTTGCTTTGCATCAAATGTATTATTTTGATTTCCCAAGCTCGTTAAGTCATCGCTGAAATTAAAAAATGAAAAATTTAATACCACATGAAATGAAATAGGAAAAAAGTACTATTTCATCATTTGATTGAAAAATCTTATTGAATTTTTTATTTTTTGCATTAATTTCATGAATGTATTAAAAAAT